AGATAGGAAAAGCCTCACGCTCAAAGGCCCTTGTTCTCATGGGGGACTTCGACCAACCTGACAGCTGTTGGAACGATGGTACGGCCCAGCACAAGCAATCCAGGAGGCTCCTCAATTGTGTGGAAGACAACTTCCTTCTGCAAGTAATAGAGGAACCAACAAGGAGAGGTGCCATGCCTGACCTCGTGCTCACCAACAGGGAAGGGCTCATTGGAAACGTGATGCTCCAGGGCAGCCTTGGATGCAGCTACCACGAGATGGTTGAATTCAAGATCCTTGGGACAGTGACAAGAGTGTGTAGCAAGCTCACTGCCCTGGACTTCAAGAGAGCAGACTTTGGCCTCTGCAGGAACCTGCTTAGTAAGGTTCCATGGGATATAGCCCTAGAGGACAGGGGGGCCCAAGACTCTTGGTTGATATTAAGGATCACCTGCTACAAGCTCAGGAGTGTTGCATCCTGTCGTGGTTTTAACCCAACCAGACAGCTTGTTACCCACTCCCCCCCCGTTTCTTGCCCTCCCCTTACTCCTGGAGGGACGGAGAGAAGAATCAGAAAGAATGCAACTCCCACGGGTTGAGATAAGAACAGTTTAGTAACTAAGGTATAACACAAATCACTAATGCTAACACCAATAATAGTAATGATAAATGAAATAACAAGGGAAGAGAATATAACACCCCATCACCAGCCGACCGATAACTCACCCCCCAGTCCGATCAAGCACCGACCGATACCTCCTCCAACCCTGCAGTCCACCCAGCCCTTCCGGCTAACTCCTAGTAACACCCTGGGCATGACATGCTGTGGTATGGAATACCTCTTTGGTCAGTTTGGGTCAGGTGTCCTGTCTCTGCTTCCTCACGGCTTCCCTCCTCCCTTGCAGAGCATGAGGCCCACAAAGTCCTTGGCCAAACCAAAACATCAGTGTTTTTCAGCTCTGTTCCCAGCTGAAAGTCAAAACACAGCACTGCACCAGCTACCAAGAAAGAGAAAAATGACTGCCACTGCTAAACCCAGGACATTATCCACCCCTTATTCCATACCATTCACGTCATGCTCAGATCCCACATTTTCAATATACCATCACTCTTATCTAAGTGCACTCTCATCGTAGTGCATGGACCAGTCCCTATAAAGCTGCTGAGTCCATCTGGTCCATGATGTCAGGCTCCATCTCTTGTAACAGTCTTTCAGAGCAGGAGAGGCTGTGTGCAGTGTTCACACACATGAATAACCTGGGCAGTAGTGTCCATTGTTAGGTCCACCCCTTGATCATGAGTCCATCTCTATGTTGCATCTCTGCTCTGTTGGCCTTAAGGGTCATGGGCCCACCAGGTTCAAAATAATTCATTGTCCTTCCATCTCCAATGTTTCCAAAGCACTGGAGGGGCCCAGTGGACTAGATACTTGCCCATACTGTCCCACATGCCCTGCCACTCATGACTGTCCAGCCTTGGGGAAAACCTCTTGGTCCTCCCATATTGTTGTCTAACCCCAGACAAGACCCAAACCCGACTCTGCTTAAATTTTGGGATCAGACACAATGATGGTGGGTAAAACACACTCTACATGTGTGCCAACATAGTGAACACCATCACAATCAGCAAACAAGTCTCAATAGCAGTAAAAGGCCATTCAAAACTCTCAAATGATGCTGTAAATGCTCTGGGGGGAGGAATGGGAGGGTAAAAGAATGCCTCCTTCACAGGTTGACCACCCGAGAAGGAGAAAGAATATGTGTAATTGCTAAGCATTTCTATTATATACCTCCCAAAGTATAAAGGTGGTGACCATACTGGGAACATAAACCAGATAAGTTTCATCATCAATAATTCTATTTTGTTACAAGTCATCATCATAAAGTACACTGAGACAAGAACTTTAGTCCAAGCCCCACACTTGAAAAACACTAATACAGCAAATACCAGATCTAAGTAAATTACAACATTCTGAAGCTGTGAGATCAAGAAGAACAACTTTGAGAGCCAATAAATCAGCATTGTGATGAGTGACTATTAATCCGGTCAGATCTGTTGTTATCTCAGCCCCTTCGTGCCCCACGTTGGGCGCCAAAAAGAACTGTCGTGGTTTAACCCACAGCCAGACAGCTTGTTACCCACTCCCCCCCCTTTCTTGCCCTCCCCCTACTCCTGGAGGGACGGAGAGGAGAATCAGAAAGAATGCAACTCCCACGGGTTGAGATAAGAACAGTTTAGTAACTAAGGTATAACACAAATCACTAATGCTAACACCAATAATAGTAATGATAAATGAAATAACAAGGGAAGAGAATACAACACCCCATCACCAGCCGACCGATAACTTGCCCCCCAGTCCGATCAAGCACCGACCGATACCTCCTCCAACCCTGCAGTCCACCCAGCCCTTCCGGCTAACTCCCAGTTACATCCTGGGCATGACGTGCTGTGGTATGGAATACCTCTTTGGTCAGTTTGGGTCAGGTGTCCTGTCTCTGCTTCCTCCCGGCTCCCCTCCTCCCTGGCAGAGCATGAGGCCCACAAAGTCCTTGGCCAAACCAAAACATCAGTGTTTTTCAGCTCTGTTCCCAGCTGAAAGTCAAAACACAGCACTGCACCAGCTACCAAGAAAGAGAAAAATGACTGCCACTGCTAAACCCAGGACACATCCCAACTAGAAGGAAGTGCAGCAGGAGGGCCAGGACACCTCCTTGGATGGATAAGGAGCTCCTGAGGAAATTTCAAATGAAAAAAGAGTCTTACAGAAAGTGGAAGCAAGGACAGACAGCCTGGGAAGAGTACAGGAATGTTGTCTGGGAAGCTAGGGACCAGGTTAGGAAAGCTAAGGCCTGTTTAGAATTAAACTTGGCTAGGGATATTAAGGATAACAGGAAGGGATTCTACAGGTACATAGCAAATAAAAAACAGACTAGGGACATTGTAGGCCCCTCAGGAAGCTCTCAGGAGAACTAGCTACACAGGATTTAGATAAGGCTGAGGTTCCGAATGACTTCTTTACCTCGGTCTTCACTGGCAAAGGCTCTGACCGCACCACCCAAGTCTTGGAAGGCAGACGCAGGGACTGTGAGAATGAAGACCTCGGGCCCACTGTAGGAGAAGATCTGGTTTGAGACCATCTTAAGCACCTGAACGTGCAGAAGTCCATGGGTCCTGATGAAATCCATCCGCGGGTCCTGAAGGAGGTGGCAAATGAAGTTGCTAAGCCACTGGCCATCATATTTGAAAAATCATGGCAGTCAGGTGAAGTTCCCGGAGACTGGAACAAGGGAAATATAACCCCCATTTTCAAGAAGTGGAAAATGGATGACCCAGGCAATTACAGACCAGTCAGTCTCACCTCTGTGCCTGGCAAAATCTTGCAGCAGATTCTCCTGAAATGCATGCTAAGGCACATGAAAAGCAACAAGGTTCTTGGTGACAGCCAGCATGGCTTCACTAAGGGGAAATCCTGCCTGACCAATTTCATGGCATTCTATGATGGGGCTTCAGAACTGATGCACAGGGGTAGAGCAGTTGATGTCATCTACCTGGACTTGTGTAAAGTGTTCAACACTGTCCCACACGACATCCTTGTCTCTAAATTGCACAGACATCAGTTTGATAGGTGGACCACTCAGTGGATAAAGAACTGGCTGGATGGCCACAAGCAGAGAGTTGTGGTCAATGGCTCAATGTCCGGCTGGAGACAAGTGTGTCCCTCAGGGTTCAGTGTTGGGACCTGTCTTGTTCAACATCTTTGTCACTGACATGGACAGGGGGATTGACTATGCCGTCAGCAACTTTTCTGATGACACCAAGCTGTGTGGTTCGGTTGATACGCTGAAGGGAAGGAATGCCATCCAGACGGACCTCGACATGCTTGTGAAGTAGGCTGATGCCAGCTTCATGAAGTTTAACCATGCCAAGTGCAAGGTCCTACACCTGGGTCAGAGCAATCCCAGGCACAGCTACAGGCTGGGCAGAGAAGAGATTCAGAGCAGCCCTGCACAGAAGAACATGGGGGTGTTGGTCGATGAGAAAATGAACATGAGCCCGCAGTGTGTGCTTGCAGCCCAGAAAGCCAACTGTATCCTGGGCTGCATCAAAAGGAGTGTGACCAGCAGGTCAAAGGAGGTGATCCTGCCCCTCTACTCTGCTCTCGTGAGACCTTACTTGGAGTATTGTGTGCAGTTCTGGTGTCCTCAACATAAAAAGGACATGGAACTGTTGGAACAAGTCCAGAGGAGGGCTATGAGGATGATCAGGATACTGGAGCACCTCTTGTATGAAGATCGGCTGAGAAAGTTGGGGCTGTTCAGCCTGGAGAAGAAAAGGCTGCATGGAGACCTCATAGCAGCCTTCCAGTATCTGAAAGGGGAGTATAGGGATGCCGGAGAGGGACTGTTCATTAGGGAGTGTAGGGACAGGACAAGGGGTAATGAGTTCAGACTTAAACAGGGGAAGTTTAGATTGGATATAGGGAACATATTCTTTCCTGTTAGGGTGGTGAGGCACTGGCATGGGTTGCCCAGGGAGGTTGTGAATGCTCCATCCTTGGGAGTGTTCAAGGCCAGGTTGGACGAAGCCTTGGGTGAGATGGTTTAGAGTGAGGTTTCCCTGCTCATGGTAAGGGGTTTTGGAACTAGTTGATCTTAAGATCCTTTCCAGCCCTAGCTATTCTATTATTCTATGATTCTAAGAACTCAGCAAAGCATTGCAACCTTTTCTTCTCATCTATAACAATTATTATAATTAATAATAATATTAACAATAACTAACAGTAATAGTAACCAAAATGGTATCTCTAGATGCCACATTATAGAAACTCTATTAGTGTTTGCTGAGACTAAAATAAATCTCTTTTTAAATTCCAAATAGTTGGTCTCAATGCCTAATAAGATTTGTGTGCCCTGAAGTCTGCAGCAACCTTAAAATTTAATGGATGTAAATGTTACGAAATTAAGGCCCCATTACCAATGTTATCATAATTTACATGACAGTTGAGGGAAGTAAGCTGCTACCTGAAAACCCTTATGGAGCGCCATCACAGCTTCCAAACTGAAGAATACTCCACAGTCACGTATACGTAGCTCTTCTAACTTGTAGTTTGCAATCAATTACAATCTTGTACCAAAAGAAAGTGAAGGCAGATTCTCTCCAGTATTGGGAGTTCACTTCACTGTGTTCTTTCCTTCTTGAACAAAGCCTAAAATTTGCAATAAATACATTGAAATCCTAGCTTCATATAGCTGCCAAAAGTCCAGAAAGACTTTCTGTTTTTAAAAAAGACCAGGTCTGAGTAGTGTTTAATAATAGCCATGAAAAAAAAAAAAAAAAAGAAGTATTAATACATTTGGCTCAGATTCCTTCCACTTAACTTCAGGCTCCTAAATGTAATTGTTTCATGCTTCTGTTGTTGGTGGGGAGGAATTTCCATAGGCAAATTCAGATTTTATTCAGGCTGACTCGTATAAACTGGAACTGGATTGTGCACCCGATACCCAAATATTAATTGTCTAAATTCAGGTTGGCCAAATCTGGGTTTCAGTGAATATAGTTCAGTTGAATGGTTGAATTAAAGTTTTAATATACCTACTTTTAAACAAATAGGTATTTAGAATAACAAATTTACATACAGACAAATAAAACCAAGGAGTTTTTTAGAAAATATCCCCCTAAATCCTTTGTGAATCTTAGAGGTCGTTTTCATACTTAAGAACTGATTTTTGAAGAGAGTAAAAACAATCAAGAATCCAGGCCATTCAATGGCAACTGGTGACAAAAGGGACATATCCACTTTTAACCTAGATTCTGAGCTCCTCTTTCTGTTTCTGTACTGTACCTTCTAACTCTTTAATTTAAAACATACAGAATATTCCCAGGTCTATACCAGGGCTGGATCTTTGCCTCATCTCTCCCAGGGGAAAAGTCTGACTACAAGACCACAGTCCTTCTTGCATTCTCTCTCAGTGGTCCATGGCACACATTTTATTTCTGTCACTGGAATAGCTTCCATCAGGACAAGGTAAAAAAATACACCCATCTCATCCTCACAGTACCTAGTGTTTTCTATGAGAGTCTGAATTTTACCAGTCTCTACATCTTATTCAATTTTTAGAATAGTATTTTCTCTTGGCAATTCTGAAAGTCTTCCCTGACTATTCTAGCCTCTTTCACACACACATACTGAGCGAAACAGTTTTATACTTCACATAGTACTGGAAACAGTTACATTCAAAGTCAATCTCAATTTTTCCTTCTTCGTAGTACAACTGTCTTTCATTGTTTCAAAAAACTTCTAGATGAGCATGCTTTTGTTTTCTTTATGATTTAATAAAATAATATGTATTTCTGAAAATAACACAAGCAACAAATAATGAGGTCCTGAGACTTGGATTATGTATGATTCTTAGGTTGTGTCTCCTATTGAGATCATTTCACATCTGCACATGGAAAAGCAAGCACACAGTCTACTGTGAACTCCAGAGGAAGCAAGAAGTTGGGCAATTTGGGCTCACCCTGCCCTTAAAGGTAAGTCAAAGTACTTGTAGCTGCAATTTAGACACATATGCACAGTCTGAGTTAACTATACTAAGTAGAGATCCATTCTATTGTCCTACCCAGTAGAACAGCAATGCATATGTCTAAAAAATCCAAAACAAAGTAAGCCAAAAATAAATCAGAACTATGTAAACATCTGAAGCACTTTTCAAGACCTAATTCAGAATAATAACCCAGGAAGTTTTTAGCTTCACCAGATAATTATCTTCTTGCTTGAAGGATGTCCATGAACAAAACACTTTCAAGAATTTAAATACACTGAGCAGAATTAAATTAGCATGACTGTTCAGAGTCAAAGCAGATGGACTAGATCTACAGGAATCTCAGTGTTTAATTTGAAATAAATTGCATAATTCTAATTCATTTTCACAATCTCAAATTAGTGCTGGCAGTAATACTTAAATATATAAATACAAATGGAGACACAGTGGAACACAAGGTCTAAATAGAGTCAGGCAAAACCATTCCACAGTAATCCACAGCAAAAAAAAAAAAAAAGCAGAATGCAGATTTAAATAATGCACCACAATATTAATATCTATTTAAATAAGAAAAAGAAACCAAAACACAAACATACCAGGGACTCGAGCAAATCCTTTCTCTCAGGGGGGCAAGTATTTATGTTTGATCTGGTAGATTGTCAGAATTTTTCCCTGCCTGCTGGGCAGTTAAAATCAGCATTTTTAGAATGTCATTAACTTTTTTGTCCCATAATTTGATTCAGAATTATTGAAAAGTGCTGATGGGTGAAGACTACATTCTTTTAGCTTAGTAAGAGACTGGATTATGTTTGAGTTTTAATGAAATGTAAAATTCATAATTCAAAAAAATATAAGGTGCTACTGCAACCCTTTCTTAAGAAAAATCTAAGGCCAGCTTCTTGCAGCCTCATACAAGATGCTGAGATGGAAATCTAGTCTACAGTTATGACTTTATCTTCTTCTCAAGGCCATTTTATTGTTCACAAGGAATAATCCACCTATTCTACTGCCATTCATGGAAATGTTTATCCTGTGAAGACCCCAGCACCCCAGTAAGTAGTCAGCAGGGGTGCCAAGAAGCAGAGATGAGAGGCAACCTCTCAGACTAAGTGGCTCATGAAGGAAGGTTTAGCATTATTATAGACATCATTTTCACTCTGTGTTTTGGTGGGCTTTTTTTTTCCCTTTTCATTCTGTGTATGAATGGAAAGCCAGGATTGCAGCACCTTCTTGTAATTAAATTTAATGTGTTTTAGAAGCTAAAAATCCCTAATTCAGCCTTTAAAGGGCATAAAGACAATCTGACTTTCAAAATATAGTCCTTATTTTTCTTAATAGAAATTCACTTCTTATCCTTTATTTTATATGCTGATTGTAGGCTCTGAGAATGATTTTTGTTTTGTCTTTATAATACCATGCACAATGGGAATACTGAGACTACAATTCTTAAATTCTATGATAACACCAATAATTAGCTGTAAGAAAAACAGAAAATGAAAAAACTGGTTCAGTTATTCTGTTTTTCTTATGAAGGATGAATAAGAGATTTTTTTATTTATTTATTAGCTGAGTGAACATAATTAGAGATTCCAGACTCTCTAACGGGAATAAGACATTCAAATGATCACAGAAATTGCTCTTCCTCCTTACCTGGCATTGCAAAACATCAGTAATTCATGGATAAATATGTTCAACTTATACCAGCTATTATCAAGAATTAGATCAAATGGAGTAATATGTAATTTGGATAGGAAGAAGGTATGGTGAATATTGAAATCTATAAAGGGAGAGAAAATGTGCTCTTTTTTATTTATTTTTTAATGTAATTAGAGTATAATGCAAAACAGGTTTGGATAGTCTCCAGCATCACTACTTTAACAAATTTTGTTCTTGATTGCAGGAGAAGAGTTTGCATCCATTCCATTCACAGTGCTAATTATTAGATAAAGTATTCAGAATTTATCACACCTACAAAATTTCAGTATATATCCTTGATTCCCAGCAATAGCAGTCATATAAATGTGGATCACCCTTGGCTAATGTAGTAATATAACTATCTGATGAGCAAGGACAGAAGGCATGATGAAAAAAATAAAAGCATTTTCAAGATAACACACCTGCTTCTTGCAGAAAAATTCTAAATAATCCTTTGAATAATATTGGCAGTCCAATACTGCAACAATTAATGATATTTAAATTGCACAGAAAATGTTATAAAAATAAATATAAATAAAAGAAAATAAAAAAAAAACAAAGCAAAACAAGATGCATTTTCAAATAACACACTTGCTTCCTGCAGTAGAATTTTAAACAATTGTGTGAAGAATATTGACACAACAAGACTGAAACAATTAAAGAAATACAAATTTTATAGAAAACAGTATAGAAGTTCCTTCCGATTCCCATTGTAACTCTACTGATTACACTGCAAGCATATTATATAAAAATCCACCATTTCTGTGTTCACAAACATGAATTAAAATTTCTATAAATATTCTCTCATGAGACAGTGGTGCTTCACCCTTGTGCAAAAGACCCAGATGCACAGAAAATACAGCTAATAGAAAACTGTAAGTCCTACCACAGGAATTAAAGAATCATCAGATTGCTCTAATTAGAAGGCATATTTCTTGGATGTGCCTTCTCTAGCACATATCACTGTGCTCCTGTGCATTGCTTTAATTGCCAAAAGAATTTCTCTCTCACACACACTTGTCTCCTTGGGAGAAGCTGTCAGTACAATGTGCAGTGGATGTTAATTATTCAGTGCACTACCATAAAGCACTCAGGTATTATGATGATAAGCACAGTGTAAGAGCACATATAAGAAATAATAGAACAACTCACACTGCAAGAGTCTGACAAAGCTGGAATAAATTAAAAGCTGAAGCAGCAAGCAAACATTAATATCTCTACTAGAAAGACATTCTTTAACAGATTTCAAACACCTTATATCCATGTTTCTTTCCTGCCATTAAGGAAAGCCCGAATGTTTTTCAGACTGAATCAGTTTTTCTTGGTTTTTTTTTAAAGTACATAAGAATTATGTTTCTCTATGAGGTCAGCTACAGCTCAGCAAGGCACATACCATGTGTGCTATGGCTCCATTAGCTGCCACTGAAAATACATATGCAATACTTTAATCTGTTCTTTAAAATTCTGCAAATGCAACTCTGTTCTAATCAATGGGGGTTCTCTATTGTTGCATAAGGTTACTTGAAGAAATTAAACCAGGTTTAGACAATGATGTATTTCATGCTAGATCTAGCATACTGCTTGTTGCATGTGAAAGTAGTATTATTTTTTTTTTACAGAAACATTTTTGCTCTTACTTAACTCCAGGAAAATGAAAACACTAGAAACGAACAACTCTGACTTTAAGGTTAATGCAGCAGAATTCATTTCATTCTAATCCATTCTCTTTCTAACCTGTGATTCATTTTTTTTTCAGCACTATAACAGTTTAGTGATACTTACAACAGAGTTGTTTTGCAAGAAATAAGATTTTTAACATGAAGATATTGCTAAACACTAATACAGATTTTAAAAAAATAACCCTACTGTTTAGTTGTTGCTTAGGCATATGTGGTTTACATCTGCCATCTACTGTAAGGAGAAAACACTGCAGGTCTTCTGCTTGAACCAACATTTAAACAAAAGAGATTACTAGATTGCCTACCATTTAGACTTATGTCTGAACTCAAATCATAATTTCTTTACATACACATCAATAAAATAGGGATGA